TTGCTTTGGAGGTACAACAGATCTCCAGGGGTTAGTAAAAATGTGGGTTCTATACATTTGCTAATACCACGGAATTTACTTTTTATCCTCTAAAAGGTGAGGCTCAAAAGATACATGGAAATGAGAGGCGCTGATGGAGGACCTTGGCAAAGGTTATGTGCATTGCCTGCTTTTTGGGTATGTCATTATCAATTTATCATTATTGTCACCTTACCCCAAATTATTGAGGTTGGTGCTATGAAATCTAGTTTTCAATAATAGTCTCATTTTGTGGACAATAATATAAATAAAATACAATGACAAAGTTTTATGTTAGATGTCCTCATTGTGGTTTCCTTCTTATGAAACTAATCTTCCTCTATTTCATATTCTGTTGTTGGACTCTAACAAAGAAGAAAATGCAATCAGTAAAGTTTTATCCTCTTGCATGAAAAGTTCTCCCTCCATCCTATAATTTTCTTTTGTTTTTCCTTTTTGGGATGCCCCAATTCTCTCTTCTAGTTTCCATTTAAGGGTATATTTATACTTCAAGTTATTTCTCATTCATTTGTATATATCTCAACCATGCATTTTCTAATTCAATAAGAATCTAGTTGCAATATAGCCTATGTCTAATTGCTGTGTTGGTACGTACACCATGTAACATGTTATATGCTCTTCGTTTTACTAACATTCTTCTTTGAGGAATGCACCTTGATTTTTCTTATCATTATAGGATGCCATTTCTCCTCATACTCATGTTCCTGATACTGAAAATATAATTTCAGACATAACTTTTCTATCAGATGGATGGATCATATTTCTGCAGATTTTGATTAGCTAATAATTGATTTTTTTTATCCATCTTTAAAAAAAATCTCAGGCAGGTCTATTGTATGATGATATATCTTTACAAAGTATTGTGGACATGACAACAGATTGGACTGTTGAAGAAAAAGAGATGTTGAGGAATAAGGTAATACTCCTATGGAAATGTTAATGGTGACAGTCTCTATGTTATTTATGCATGGTAGCATATACGAGTATAAATTACATGAAAAGATGCTTTACTATTAGGTGCCTACAAGCGCATTGTATACACCATTCCGAGATGGTCTGCTCAAACATGTTGCCCAAGATGTGGTAAAGTTAGCAAAAGTAAGTAAAGACAAGTGTGTTAGATCTTGTTTTGGATGACTTGTGCTAATAAGAAGTGCTTTCTCATATAAGCACTATAAGTGAGTGTTTTTTAGTACATTCTCTTTGTCCCCTTTTTTTTTATCTTCACTCTTCTCTCTTTTGTATCCTCTTTGTTTTTTAAGGAAATGGTTTTGTTCACCTTGAAAGCATGCTGAGTCGAAACAGCGATAAAATGGGGACAGAGAGAGTAATTAAAAGCATTTTTTCCTTGTCGAACACTCTGAGTAGAAGTATTTTTTCATGCAAATAATACAACCTTTAAAAACAAGTCATCCAAATGCACTCTTATAATCAGTCATGTTGTCGAGAAATTAGCGTTGGCTATAGTGTCCTGACTAACCCATCTTTTGGTTCCTATAATGCAGGAAGGTCTGGAAAGACGGGGCCTTAAGGAAACAGGGTTTCTAAATGAAGTCTCTGAAGTGGCCAACACAGGTAATCTTACAGCAAATTCACTTCTATATTAGTGCCCCTCGAGCATCCTGTTAGCACCTAAGCCGCCTAGCAAACTTTAGAATATCAGTAATGTAAAATGAAAAAGAGTTATAACAACATAAATAGAGTTTCATATATTTTGATACCTTTTATGAATGAGTGATACAATGATACACACACACACACACACACACACACACACACAGAGAGAGAGAGAGAGAGATAGAGAGAGAGAGAGAGAGAGTCTTCAGCCGTGCTAGTTTGTTTCCTATCTTTATAAACTAAAAAGCTTCTGGACAACTTTTCTAATGGATATTTAACAAGTAAAAGTAAAAACATCATCGGATTAATCAGATGAGTGTTACCTATGAGGCTTTGACTATGTTTCGTGCCCGATAAACTAGATGATAGGCCAATTATTGGTTTTTTCTTGAATGAAGCCTTTCACAAAAAGTCGTGAGGTTTTCATTACAGTTCCATTATTGACACATGTTTTTAAAGTTCGAAACTATTTCAAACACATCTTGTTATGTTGTCTTGTATTACGCATAAGCGGACAGGTAGTTTATCAAATCTAATGGCCAACCTGTCATTTTGCTTTGCCAAACATAGCCTTAGGCAAGCGAATTCTTTCTTTAGCCGCTCTCACCGTTCCAAGTACAATGTTGCTTTAGGTGTCACGCCGGCTGAGAAGCTCCTGGATTTGTACTTTGGGAAATGGGGACAGAATGTTGATCATGTTTTCGAGGAGCTTCTTTATTGAGGCTAAAAGAGAACCTTTAAGGGGCTGTTTGGTGTCCAATATTGTGTTGTAACCTTTCTCCAACCTCTGAATAAAGGTTTTCTTTTTTCTCTCTTTCCCGTGGCATTTGGAATAAAGCTTTGGATTGTGATACAGAGATGTATTTGATCTGGCCAGTGCTATTGTAGAATTCTTACTAATTCAAATTTAGTTCAGACTGTTCTCTGTTTTGGGGTTTTTTTATATTTAAGTTATGGGCATTGTTTTAACACTAATTCCTTGTTTGGTTAGAAGGGTGTGTTTGAATCCAGGGAAATGCTAGGGAAAGGAAAGTTAACTTGTTGGGTTTGGTTTTACCTGGAAAATGAGATAAGATATCAACAGCAAAAATAAATACTGCTACATGATGTGTGAACAAAACATTTTGGTAGAACCAACAATAAATAAAAATCACTACATGATTATATCATTTTATTAAATTACAAAAAATATACCAAGAAATACGGAGTAATAATTAATAATTACAATATATAAGATCAGATCAAAAAAATATTTAAAAAATTTAAAACAATACTAATAATCAAAATAATACGGAGTAATAATTACTTCGTAATAATTACAATAATTTCTAATAATAAAAATTATAATTTTAATATTATTAATACAAATTACAAAAATTGTTAATATTATTAAATATAATTACTAAAATAATTATCATTATTGTTATTATTATAAAAATAAATTATAATTAATAATGATAATCATCGTCATTAATCACAACACTTAATAATAAAAAATAATGATAATAAAAGTAATACATAGATTTATTAAAAAATGATTGTAATAATAATTAATAATTACCATTAAAATTATTAATAATAAAAATTATTATTGGAATTCTAATAATAAGAATTTAAAAAATAATTAATAATAAATTATTATTATCATCATACATTTTGATTAATAATGATAATCATCATCAACAATCATAACACTAAATATTAGTAACAATAATAATAATTAATTATAATAACATTTATAAATATAATTATTAAACTAACAATGATAATAATAATAATAATAATTAAAATAATAATCATTAATAATAAAAATTATTATTGTATTGTATTAATAATACTTAATAATAATAATTAATAATAATTTATTATTATTTCGATAATAATTTGAGTTTGAATTAATTTCATCTCGATCAGATCTATTCAAATTAGACCAGGTCTTAAAAAAATGAAGCTAAACAGTATGCACGCTAAGACTATGTTTGGTTTGAGATCGCAAAATATACCGTACATCCAGCCATACGGGAAGAATCGTACAGCCCGACAATTAATTAGGGCGAACGGGGACCTGCTGCAAGAACGGCTGAATGGATCGGCCACGAAGGAAGCTGCACGATGATTTCCCGATCTGCGATTCCCGATGAAAGAGGTTGCACGGCGGTGAAGATGGAGGTTGTTGATGAAGGTCTTCCGCGGAGGTTGTTGATGAAGATGGAGGTCGTTGGATTCCCGATCAATTCTGGCCCAGTTGTTCTCGATGGTCTTCCGCCCTTATCTTTTCTTCCACTTAGACATATGATTATATGAATGGTAGGTTGTTTAAGATTGAGTACTAGGTTATATGGGAATAAGTACTACTGTCTTTTAGAATGAATATTATGTTATTCGTAAATGAATATTGAATAAATTTGTGAAAGTGATTATGACGTTATTTCTGAATGAGTACTACATTATTTCAGAATGAGTACCACGTTTTTCAAATGAACCATTATGCTTGTGCAAGAATGAGTACTACTTTACTTCGGAATGAGTACTACATGGATGTACCTATCTCTAGGTAGATCCGAATATACCATATACCAACTCGGTTTGAGATAGGGTTAGGTTAATTTTACACTCTCGGAGATAAAATTGAAGGGAGGTCATTATTTCTGTTCCGCTGCTGCCCTTCTAATTTTTTCTCGAAGCGATGCTGCTCGCTAGCCACTCCGGTTATCCGATCGCAGATCCCTTCGCAGACGCAAGTTCTTCCTCTCCCTTCATCTTCCAAGTTCCAACTGTTGGTTTATTATTATTTTTTGCTTAGACTTGTAAATTGCTTTTTTCCCTGTTCTATTTTCGATTTTTAACTTTTTTTCTAATTTCTTTTCTGCCGCTGATTTTTTGGTTTTTTTTGTTCTTTTTTTTCCGTTTTTTTCGATTTTTTGTTCTTGCTTTCTTTTCGTTTTTTCTGTGTTGTGGTGTTTTTTATTTGTTTTTTCCAGTTGTTTTTTTATGTTTTTCTTCGTGTTGTGGAAGTAAATGGTTTGATTATTTTTTAGGGATACCCCAAATGTGCACCACCCTCCCTTTCTACCATTCATTTTATTTTATTTTTAGTTTTAATTTTTTTTGGATTTTTTTACCTTTTTTGTGTGGTGATGGAGGAGGTTGGGATGTTTGGGATACACTAAGGGGCTGTTTGTTTCAGCCTCTTAATGGTTCAGGTGTCTGAATGATTCAGCACTTAATGGTTCAGACTGTTTGTTTCAGCCTCTTAATGGTTTAGATCTATGAATGGTTAAGAGATTTGCTTCTGAATGGTTAAGTATTATACAGAGTCTGAATGGTTAAGACCTTTTATCTGAATTGATCAGACATTTGCCTCTGAATAGTTAAGCAATATATTAGCTCTTAATGGTTCAGACCTCTTACTGGTTCAACACTTAATGGTTCAGACCTCTTACTGGTTCAGCACTTACAGATTCAGAAGTTTCCAAACAGCCCCTAACTAATAAACCAAACATACCCTAAACCGCATATACTTCTCCCAATCATCCGCGACCAGTTATACACGAAGACATCGGCGGCAAGCCGGCGACGGCGATCTCACCGATTGACTGCACCTCTCGGTTTTTCTACGAGTTAGTAAAAATTTCTTTCACAGGAATTGTTTGTTCTGTCAATTGTTCCACTCCTTCATGCATTAATTACTCCGTATTAAAAAAGTACTAAATTCCCTCATTATCTCCTTCATCCATCGATTTTGGAGCCGTATATGGATTCAAATTATTTTTCAAGTGTGTGTAACCTACCTACCCATCGCCTCATGGTTTTGGGGCAGGAAATTGTATGTTTCCAACAAGCGTCTGAACAGATACATTTATTTTGAACCCTTAGTTTAACGCAGAGGCATTTAGATGAACTACAAGAAGCCATTAACCTTGTTTCAAGAACTGGTGAAGTCGCGGGGGCGTTTGCTTGGTTTGGATGTGGGAGATAAGTATGTCGGTCTGGCTGTTTCTGATATGGGCAATACATTAGCATCGCCTTTGAGGTAATGCGGCTTCTTGTTAAAACCACTGGCTCCTCATTCCCCTCTTTTCAGCATTTATTTATTTGTTGTTAGTAATTTGATGTTTGCAGTGTGCTTGTTCGCAAAAAGTCGAATATTGACTTGATGGCCACGGATTTCCAGTCTCTCGTAAGCATTTCCTTGTCTAATACGAGCGCTACATTTTGGCGTTTGATACTTTGATTGTCGCTCAAAAAAGTGAAGCTGCTTGACTAAGGCATGCTTCGTACGTACTCGCATTGTCGCAATGGATGCTTCTAAGCTGCCAATTCTTGTTTTCTAGGTGGTTAAGGGTGAAATTGATTATCCGTGGACAGTTGAGAGAAAAGTTTATTGTTTTGAGATATACAAATGGTGGTTAGGTATATGCATGAGTACTGCATAGGGGTATATTGTTATATATCTTGGAACATCTCAGTTTACTGCTTGTTTTGTGCTCTTTGCCTGTGTCACAAGTTGCTCACAAAACATAAGGGAACCAAACATATGGAAACATATTGCAGTTTCCTGTTCATTTTCCGAGGTAAACCAAACATAAGGAAACCAGTTGTTATCTTTTTTCCTTTTCCAGACCATTTTTCGAAGATACAAATATACGCGTAGTCCCATAGGTAGGTCTGTCAATGGGTCAGAAGCCTGTTCTACTCTGTGTGTTACTAGATCTGTACCTTTTCAGACCTTGGTTGGGTCAGATCCGAATCTGGGTCTAGGCAGTTAAGAGTTTTTTTATTATTTCATAACTCATATTTAGATTACATTTGCATCTAACATAAATAGTTATATATTTTATGTTATCAAAGTTCTTATATATTCCGTATTCAACATATTTATATTACGTTTGCACCTAACATTTTTTTTTATGTTGGCGTACTAACATGAACACCTGCAATATTACTGCCCATTAATATTATGAGTTCATAGGAGTCCATTATGCGTCATTCTTAAAGAAACCATTTTTTATGATTTTATTTGTGATAATCACTTTATTATAGTATTCTATTACATTCATTCCTTGTGACATAGTTTTTGTCATTAAATCATCTTCCCTTGATCATGTGCAGATATCTAAGCTTTCTTTGGAGGGATTCATTTTTGGCTACCCTTTTGATCACCAAAAAAATAACCGAGATGTAGGTTTTGTTTGTGTTTGTTTTGCTTCTCTGTGTGTGCGTGTGTTATCTTTTTTGTTAAATTTGATCCATGTTCTCTTTGCTAGGCTGTGCAAGTTAAACTTTTGATTGATGACCTTTCTGAAACTGGAAAACTTGACGGTGTAAAGTATACTTTTTGGGATGAAAGCTTCACATCGAAGGTATGTTTTATTAGTACGTCGGAGAGAATTTTGTGTCTGAATTGTAGTAAGTGGCTTACAGGTGGATAAAGTAAAAACTCTGGCCTCTATCTCATCCAAAACAAAAAGTATGAATCTGCCACTTTACCCGTTTGTTTTAAATCTTCTACCCCCTATTTCTCAAAGCAATGAGTGATGCTTGTTATGCAGCTCTTGGTTCTAGATATTAGTCATTTATTTATTTAAATTGGAGATTGCTAAATATGACTAACGTGCTTGGTACTTGTGATGATTTAACTTGGTAGTTGAACTAATGGTTCATTTGATTAGGGAAAGACCGATAAGAGAGAAATGTGAGAGAAAAGAGATGAGAAAGGTAGTACCTTTTGCTTTTGGTATAAGAGAATTTGGTAAGAAAGAAGAGAGAACGAAGTCTTGTTTGAAAATTAAGAGAGGATCATATTTATCGAAAGACAAAAAGAACCCTCATTGCCCCCAAAGCCATTTTGGCCTCTCTCTCTCTCTCTCCAAAAATAAGAGACGATCAAATTTACATATCATTTGCATGGTGGTTTAAATGCTTGCCACTCTGTGTCGCTTGTTGTGAAAAACTGATGCCTCGTTGAATTGGACACTCGCAACTTTGGTCTGGTCTCAGAATACCTTGATGCTGTCGTATAAATTATATTTGCATCTCAGTTTGTCAATTGAACTGATTTTGAGTTTCTATATGGTCTCAGAGTGTAGAGATGTTATTGAAGCCCTTGAATATGCACCCTGTTCAGTCGAAGACCATACTGGACAAATTTGCTGCTGTTGAAATACTTCAGGTTACGACAATACCCTTTTGCCCTTTCCTAACTCTGTTTGCCTCCGAGTAGGAACTAATGTTTCATTCATTGTATAACAAAAAAACAGCTGCAATAGCAAAATGTAAATATAAAAATAAAAACAATACAGTTATCACTCCAGTAATAATAATAATAATAATAATAATAATAATAATAATAATAATAATAATTCCTTTGGTATTGTTTGTATCAGGGGTATTTGGATTTTGTCAACAGAAGTGATAGGCTGAAGTTAGAAAGAGGGGATGCCAATGTCGAAAAAAGGAGTGATGATTCACGGGGAGGATGAAGAAGAGTCCTCTTGTCATCACCCAACCTTCAATGCCATATGACTAAAGGCCACATTACCCCCACAATATCATGTTATATTCTTTATTATATCATAACTTCTCTCCATTCTCTCGTGTCACAAATTTTCTAAAAAGAAAAACTCACACCTCAAGCCTGGATTTTAATGTTTAATGGTGTTTCAAACTTGTTATTTCTCTTTGTAATTAGTTTGTCTTTACTTCTATATTCAGATTTGAGAACTGTGGTTCTTTCTTTTTAAATGTTTTTGAATTTTTTACAAGAAAAAAGCAATTTGCATTACCTCATGAGACTGAACAATAAAGTCAGGAGGGACAGCCTCCCAAACACCACAATGATTTTTTTGCACTCTGAGCAAGGGTATGAGCAACTTTATTAAACTGCCTACAAACAAAATGAAAAGAAATAAAAGAAAAACAAGGCAAGAAACCATAACAAGCGTCAACCAAAGAACCAAAGTATGATGGCATAAAACCACCCTCCTGTTGAAGAGCCTTCGCCATCTGAAAGTTATCTGAACACACTGCCACCTCTTTGCACATTGCTTTCCAGCCAACCACCTAAGCGTTTCCCGACATGCCATAGTTCTCTCGGCTGATGCGGGGACTAACTTCTCGTCTGGTGCGGGGAGCTTCTCCTCGCCTGAGTTCTGATTACCCTTTTTGATTGATATTTGTGTTTCTATTTAGGTTGGAAAACTGAATAGTAATCTCTCTGAAAGCATGTAATCAAACAATTTGATCACTTTGTGTTTCTAAAAATTACAACCTTGCTAGGTGTACTTCGTACTCCAAAATATATAACTCAAAGGTTTGCACTTACAATTTGATAACTTATGCTCCCTCTGTCCTAAAATGACCTTCACAGTCACTAGTCACTATACATATGATCAAATTTTAATCACTTTTTTTACCTTATTTCGTTAGTTATTTATTAAAATAATATTGTCATGTCACTTTTTATTTTGTACTCCCTCTGTTCCATTTTAAATTGTCTGTTTGCCTTTTTTCTCCGTCCCAAAATAAGTTGTCTGTTACTTGTTATTGTAAACTTTTATGAGTAAAATACCTAAACAACTTCTAAAATAAGTCACTTTTCTCCACCTTATGCTTTTGTGGTAGGTTTTGGTTTTTGTGTTTGGGACTGGTTTTTGGGGTAGGTTTTGAGGTAAGACATGGAAATTGGGTTTTGACTTTTGGTTTTAGTGTTTAGGTCTCTTTTTGGCTCAGGGTTTCAGGGGATCTAGTGTTTTGCATGGCAGTTGTAAAGGAGAGGAGGCAACACCTAAACTTGATTTTCAAATGGACAAGTTTATATAGATGCTGCTATCAAAAATCAGATGGATCACTGTATGAAGTAAAAATCTTTTCATTTTGTTCGATTTCGTATTACTCCATATAACTTTGTTCGCGTCAAGACATTATCCGTTTCTTATTTTTGTGTCTTATATCTGAAACGGTGACAATGAAAATCACCGTGTACAATCTAATGTTGCTTGTTTAGTTGTGTACTTGTGTGATGCATTTCTATTTTCCTTAATCATACAAAACACGTATCACTAAAATTAAATCGGGCACTATAATTCGCGCAACGACACGCGTAACCACGCTAGTGTGTGTGTGTATAAGGAAAGAAAAAAATAGAGTTGATTTTTTGAAATAGCCATTGTTTTTTAAGAAGATTGACGATGAATGAGAAGATAAAATGGAGAAGATTGACTTATTTTAGGGTAGTTTAGGTATTTTACTCTTAAAAGTTTAGGATAACAAGAAACATACAACTTATTTTGGGACAGAGAAAAAAGGAAAACGGATCATTTAAAATGGGACAGTGGGAGTACATAAAATAAATAAATAATGATTTCATTCAAAGATCATAACAGAATGAAATTTGTGGATGGAGGGAGTAATTATAAATAGTAAACTAAAGTTTTCTTTTAAAACTTTAAGACGGAGCTAAAGTTTTCTAAAACCTAGACTCTTCTAAACTCAGATTGATCAAAAGTAAACTAAATTAAAACTTGGAAAATTAAATTTATAGAAACATTTTTTAAAACATATTTTATTATCAATTTGATTAAATACAATATATTTTTTAGATCTTTGATGTAATACAATTGAATATATTCGGAGTAATTTACATGACTATATTACTTTATTAAAAAATATTTATGCATCTAAAACCTGTGTGTAATTTTTAAAATTAATTGAAATCTGGAAAAAAATATAGAAATGTTAAATTTTGATTAATTAGTTTTTGAAAAGGTAAATATTATTTTTTTAAAATGACTGAAAGGAAAAAAAATTAAAATGGGAAGACCTAAAAAAGAAAAGAAAGTAAATATTTGGTTCTTTTTTACGGAGTATTTCCTTAGGAGCAATGTCACGTAAATATTTCATTCTTTTTAAGAATTATTTCTTTTAATTTTCCTAGATAGGTGCCATGTAAATAATGTCATATGTCATGTTTCTAGAGCTTGCCATGTGGAATGTTTGAGAAGGTTATGGTACAACCGGTTGTACCTTGGAATAGGTACATCCGGGTGGTACTCACTTTAAAGTAAGTAGTAATCATTTTCGTACAAACATAAGTACATAATTGTTCATTTTGAAATAGCGTGATACTTATTTTAAAATAACATAGTACTCATTTTGAAATAACGTAGTAAACGTTTTCACACATTTATTTCATATAATTAGGGTCCATTTGGTATACGCAATTGACGGAATTGGAATTGAATTGGAATTGAAATTCCATGGGATTCAATTCGATTTTTTACTTTATCAATTCCAAATCCACATAATTTTTGTGCTACCAAACACCAGAATTGGAATTGAATTCCTCAATTCCAAATCCATAGTTTGAATTCCGTGAACCAAACGGGGCCTTATTGTATTCATCTACGAATAACGTAGAGTTCATTCTGAAAATAAGTGGTACTCATTTTTAAATAAAATAGTGTTCATTCTCAACTAAAGTACCGTTTCATTTCACGTAGTTTAAAATCAATCTCCAATCCTTCCTCATCTTCTCACTCAAACGCTGAACTATTTCGGACTAAGTTTCTATATCAGCCACTTTCCTCATAAACCTTTGGATCTCTTATACAATCACTTTCCCCATTATCAAATCACCATCACTTTTGCCATCATCACCTTCGCCAGTTTGCTCCTTGCCCTCTAACTGCCCTGTACTACTTTCGTTTTCCGATCAGACACACCTAGAGTTTGACTCCACTGCGCTGCTCTTGATCACTAATTTTCGTCGGCTGCCCGTAGAATATAATTTGCGGTCATGTTTTTTTTAAAGCTCAGAGTCTCATTTATATATAAAGGATTATGTTGGTAAAGGATTTTAAAAAAACAAAAATTACTGTAGGAAATAAAATCCATCGTCTCCTTCCTTGGAGTTTCGTTCAAAAGCTCAAAATTTTATACTCATTGCACTTTTGTCTTTACCCTCTTCCCTCAGATCTCTCATTCCTCTCCCATTTTAAATCTAGGGTTTCTCTTTTTCATTTTTTAATTCCTCTACTCCCTGGCGCACTTATGAAGTGCAAAATTTCACAGCTCTTAGATTCTTAAATAGGGTTTTGAGCAGTGGATTGCTCACATTCTCCAGTTTAAGCTCCAGTTCGTTATCTATATTACTAGCTCTTTCTCAAGATTCCAACTTTAACATTTTCTTTGTTGAGCTCGGAGATTGGCTTCATCTGTATTTTTTTGTTGTGTTTGTTAAAAATCCCGTCTTAAACCCTTTTCAGGATATGCAAATCTTCATACCATCCGTGCATATGTATTTAATTTATGGCTAAATTTTAAGCATTTAAGGTTTCTCTGCCAAAGACTAGATTTTTATCAGGCTATATTGGCGGCGGGGAAGGGGATTCCTGGCCAGATTTCTTTATCAGTAAATCAGTTAGGATTCAAGGGCTTCGAGTCTTCTCTGGGTAAATGCATGGATTTGAGGGAAGGGATGTCGCTATATGGCTCAGCTTCTTACTATATTAACCCAGGAGGAATTAGTGTATCTGGAAGTTCATCAGGGTTCAAGCCCATTTTGAACCCTAATGTTTCAGCAGCCGAGAACCCTTCAACCAGCTTTGATCGAAGGGTTGACATGGGTATGACCACACATGGTGGCGGCGGCGGTGATCCAGTGATGACGAAGAAGAAGAGAGGGAGGCCGAGAAAGTATGGGCCTGATGGGTCAAACATGTCTTTGGCACTGTCTTCCATGTCCAGCGGGCCTTCCACAAATCCAGGCCCTAAGCGGAACAAGGGAAGACCTCGTGGTTCTGGTTGGAAGCAACAATTAGCTCCCCTCGGTATGTTTTCTCTCGTTGCTCAATTTAAGTTGGCGATGCTTGTTAATTTTACCTGTTCTTGAATTTGAAATGTGGTTCTATGTTTAATGCTTTGGAGTGAAAGAAAAGAATGTTCCACATGATGGAAAAGGTGTTCCAATCGAAATGTGGTTGATAAGTTTACCTAATTTAACATTGTTCATAATGATGAAAAAGGTAGAAGCTGCTTTATGTTTATCATCAGCTCTAGGCACCTTAATCCCAACTCATGTTGGAACAGGTGGAATGAATTTGTCGTGTTAGTATCTAGAGTCATTTAATCATATAGATTCATGCAATAATAGCTCGGCTAAAATTTCTTAGTAGTACGTATGCCATTCCCCTATCACGACCTTCTATAATGAAATGAAATTTCGAAACGACATGAAAGGTGAAATTTTAAAAGCTCTAATTGGGAATTTGTTCGAGATGATAGCTATTTACCTGGTCAATGCTCAATATGTCGTCTATGTATATGATTCTTGCACATATCTTTCAATAGATTTATTTGCTTGGTGCAGGAGAGTGGATGAATAGATCAGCTGGAGTGGCATTTACTCCTCATGTCTTGCACATTCAAATTGGGGAGGTATATTATATCCTCTTCATCTTGCGCTGTTGACCTGTCCTTTGCCATATGCTACAAAACACCTTCATCAAAACTTTTGAAAAAACACTTGATTTATGGAATACTTTGTCTTTCAAAAGAGTTCACATATCGTCATATTATGAGATTGGTGCACTAATGGATCCCCCCGTGTTAGACAAAATAATGGTTTTTTTTTAAGTGTGGTGCTGGTGTTTGTTTTTGTGCCCAATTAAGTAGGGAGTA